GTGGATGTTTGAAATTCTTCATTGTAAGTTAAAAAATGGAAAAGATAATAAAAAGAAAAGAAGAAAGGAAGGAAGGAAGAAAAATAGGGAAGAAGGAGGAGGGTGGGCATAAGGAAAGGAAGGAGACAAGTTTTGTTTTGGGCATGTCATGTTTGAGCTGCCAATCTGATATCCAGACTGAAGTTCAGGACAGTGTTAAGGCGAGACAGAAAAAAATAAGAAGTACTAAATTTATAAGCATATTACAATCATGGAACCGAATGACAGTACCTTAAAATAAGTATAAATAAGAGAAAAGAGATATTACAGAGTGAATCTTGAAGGTCCCTCAGATTGAGAGGTCTGTACGATGAGGCAGAAAAGGAGCTGCAGGGCCTGGACCAGAACAGTTTTGGGGGAGGGTGCGGTGGATTCTGAAAGGCAGGGAAGAAGACCAGAGGCAGTGCACGTGGTTGAGTCTTTAGAAGAGTTTTGCAAGAAAGCAGCAGAGAAGGAGACAGGTGTGAGTGGGATACAGGGCTGATGGGTTATTTTTCAAAAAAGGAAGGCATTATAGCATGTTTTTGTTCTGATGGGAATGATCCAGCAGAGAGAGAAAGAGAGAATAAATCATAATAGGTGACAGAGGAGAAATTGCTAGTGGACGTCCTGGATCACCCAGGTGGACCTGAAACAGGTTCATGACCAGGTTACATATGATGCATTTGGTGTTATGACACACACATTTCACTGTCAGAGGCTGGATATCACCCCCGATGGTCTTCCCAGGGACCTGTGAGAGTGCTGATGTAGCTCCTGTGGCCATTCTGGAGCTGTGTCCACTGCAAAGCAATTGATGACTTCCAATTCCATCACCGCACACAGCTTCCAGCAGCATCCCATAACTCAGGCTGTGCCCTTGTAGCTGTCCATGATCAAGGACACAATGACAAAGTATAGCCAGACCACACCGGCACATGCTGGGGAAGGACCTGGGAGAGCCAGCTGGTCAGCCTGGGGCCCACACGGAGGCCAGGTTCTGCCAGGGCAGGCTGTCTAGATGCTGCTTCTGAGTCTGAGGAGGAGGCCAGAGATGAGGCTGGGGTTGCAGCTGGGACCAGAGCAGGAGCTGGGGATGAAGTGGTTCAAGGAGCTGTGGTCCCTATGTTTTCCTTTTGATCAGCACACTCTCTTTCCCCATAAAGAGTTGCCCTGTATTAAATCTCATTTTATCTCCATTATGTGAATAATAATAAGTCCACGACCCTTGGGTACCAATCACATATCTATCACCACAGATTGAATCAGCCTTCTGGGCTGTCTGCGTGTGGCTCCTCCCAACGAAAGCCTCACTGCATGCACTGGAACCCAGAGTGGCTTCCTCTGGCCACTGCCCACATCCGCTGCCCGCAGGGAGGGGCTCTGGATGCAGAGTGCCCTCAGGGTCCCTGTCCCTGTCCCTGGTGTCAGCTATGGTTTGGGTAAGTGGTAGCTCCTCATTTTTCCCAGCAATGTTAGACCCTAGTGTGGCTTTCTGAGATTCTTCATGGAATATTGGGACGAGCCTGGTCAGAAGGTCGAAGATCTATGGCTTATTCCAAGCTCTGCGCTGACCAGCCTGGTCCTCACTTTCTCAAGTTTAACACATTTTATGTTTCAGACACTGGAAATGCAGCGGCGACCAAACAAAATTCCTGCCTGCATAAAGCATATGTTCTAATCGAGGAGAAATGTAGTAAGTAAATTCAGCCAAATATAGAAGATGCCAGGCAGTGACAAGTCCTATGCAGAGAAATGAAGCAGGACGTGTGGCAGGGAGTGCTGCTGCTGGTGTGTGTGTGTGTGTGTGTGTGTGTGTGTGTGTGTGTGTGTGATTTTAAAGGGAAGACTTCTGTGAAAAGGAGATATTTGAGCAGAGATCCAAAGGAGAAAGACACATGGTTACCTGGTGAGAACATTCCAGGCCGAAGGAACAGCAGGTGTGAAGGGTGAGGATGAGCATGATTGGTATCCCAGAAACCCCCAGGGCCTGGTGAGGCTGGGCAGTAGTGACTGAAGGAGAAGATGGTAGGAGATTAGGTTTGAGTGGGGACAGGGTTGGCAGAATATGTAGCCTCATGCTTACTCTGAGACTCTGGCTGTGCCACTCACTCAGATGGAATCATTGGAGAGGTCTGGGAAGGGGAGGGACACGGTTAAAAGAATCACTCCGGTGCTGGGTGGAGAATGACTTGAGGGGCAGAAGCAGAAAGTACAGTAAAGAAGCTATGGCAGTGGCCCTGTTGGTTAGAGTGTCATCTTGATATGTCAAGGTTTTGGGTTTGATCTCTGGTCAGGGCACATATAAGAATCCCACATATAAGAATTGATGTTTCTCTCAAATCAATCAATACTTTTTTTTTTTTTAAAGAAGCTATTGCAGTTATCAGGTGAATGCTGCTAGTGCTTTTGCTGAGGCATTAGGAGAGGCCATACTCTGGGTAGTTTTAGGAAGTAAGACAAGGTGTGCTGGTGGATTGCATGTGCAAGGGGAGGGAAAAAGAGAGGTTGAGTCATTAGCACTGTCCACAATATTTTGGTTGCTTTTTCCCCCTGGGCACATAGTAGGTTTGCATTCCCCTTCCTCCTTTAGGTTAGGTATGGCCATATGACTTGCTTTGGATATGTGAGAAGAGAGGTGTATGGCACTTAAGTGTGAGTGCAGGACCCTGCAACAGGTCCCTTTGTCCATCTCAAAGAAGATGGAAATAGTTGGTCTGGTCCCTAGTGAACATGGTGGACATGAAGAAGAGAAGACACATTTGTTGTGTTGTGCCTCTGAGATTTCAGGGCTCTGTGCTATGTGGTATAACCTAATTAATCCTGACAATGACAGATAACAGGATGGGAGGGTTTGTTCTGAGCAACCCAAAGATCGGGGTTTTCATTTCCTGAGACAGCAGAGAGTGTTGGAGAGAGGTTTTTTTGGGGGGGGGGATTAGGAGTTTGTTTTTGGGTATGCTAAGTTTGAGATGCATCTTAGGCATTCGAGCTCAGATGTGAGTCAGCAGTTGGATACAAGGATCTGAACTTCAGAGGGAAAAGTCAGGCTGCAAATATGTACAATTGGGAGTGTAAGCCCGAGGCCAGGTGAGACCCGTAGGAAGTGGGAGCAGATAGAGAGATTGTAGACAGTCTTAAGGCACCGAGTCAAGAGACTTAACTGTGCTGAATGCCGCTGACAGGTTACCTAAGATGAGACTTCTCAGTTGACTTGTGTTTGCAATGTGGAGTGATCCATGACCTGGCCAAGAGCAATTTGGGTGGAGTTGTGGGAATGAAAATGATTGAAGTGGGCTCAAGAAAGAATGAGAGGTGAGAAAGTGCAGTCTGGGTATAATTAACTCGTTGGGAGAGGATTGATGTAATAGAATGGTGATGGTGGCAGAGAATTGGGGTCAAGGAGATTTGGTTTTGTGTTTTTTCTTTAAACGAGAGAAGTAGAGTACGCATGTATGTTTCGGGGAATGATTCTGTAGAAAGATAAAATTGTTCAGGGAGTGAGAGGGGCCAATGGATGAAGAGGTGTCGGATGAGATCTAGCTTGGCAATGTGCAGCTTAGTCCCTCCAGGCAGGGGTAGGGGCGGGGGAAGGGGGGGGGTTAGAATTGAGGACACATAAACATGGGTGTATGCGGTGCCAGGACGTTTGCTCTGGATGTGGGATACGGTTGTGTGTGTGTGTGTGTGTGTGTGTGTGTGTGTGTGTGTGTTTTCAGGTCTAAAAATTTATATCAGAAATGAACTTTTTGATTATAAACTCGTCGTCAGCTCTTTCCTATCCCCCCTCTTGCAGATCCGGACTGTCATTCAACCCCGTGGATTTCACCCACTGGGCGGGTGGTGGCTCTCGTGCCTTCCGTCTCCAAACCACAGCGCCACCGGCTCCCCCGCGCGCTGGCTCAGCTCGTCAGCAGAAGAGCTGAGGCCTGGCCCGCTGTGGACTGCTGGAGTCTGGCGGGAACTTGACGGCTGCGTGTTCTTCCCGTCGGCACAATTGGAATAACAATAGTACTTAGGCCATAGGCCCATTTAGAAGATTGGAATAGACAGCGAGTGCCAAGCGCTCAGCCCATCCCCGGCGCACATGCAGGTGGGACCAGAGCAGGAGCTGGGGATGAAGTGGTTCAAGGAGCTTCACCTGTCGCCTCACCCGTCCTCACTTTGGCAGCTCAGGCCTCTGCGTGGGAACCGCCGATGCTCCCGGCTGCCACCCGGATCCGGCTCCAACTTCTCCACCCGCCACACCAAGCCCTTCCCGCTCTGGCCCCGTCTCCGCGGCCAGCCCTGTGCCCAAGCTCCCACAGGGCTCTGTCTCAGACACACGGACTGCCACTCTCCAACCCACGGCCTTCCTTTTCGCTTCCGGGTTTTACAAAAGATACCCCTCCCGCACCGCCCAACCTGGAGAAATCCTAACCATCCTTCAAGACGCAATTGAAGTATCGAACTTTCCCGGAGGCTTCCCTGAGCCCTCTGGACACCTCTGATCCGGGCTGGCGCCTTCTCAGCGCTGACCCCCACCTTTGAGTTTGCCTGGCTGACCCCACTATGAGGCCCCTTGCGAATAGGAGCGCCGTTTTGTTACTTTTTTTTTGCCTTGGACAGTGCCTGGCATCAATAAACTTGTCGGGGAATAACTGCATTGGTTACTCCCTCTGTATCCACCTCTTTCCCAGCCCCTGGCGTTGCACATGGAACTATTTGTTCAGGGTCTGTCTTCTCCAGCAGCCACGAATGCCTGGGCGGTGAGACCTTCATACCCGCCCATGCACCAGAGGCTGACACACAGCAGCGGCTTAATGGATGTTCAAAGGATAAAATGGACTGAAAGGACCTACCATCGTCCCTAACAAACTTGGCATCCCCGCAGATCTCGAGGTGGCCTCCAGGTGGCGCCCGCCGCTAGGAGGTGCGGGCATGGGTGGCTAGTCCAGGCCGCACCGCCAGGAGGGATCCCAGGAGGGGCCAGCGGGCTGGATATGCCACAGACGCGCAGCCTGCAGCCTGCGTCAGGAGTGCGTCCCCCTTCTGGGCTCCAGCGCAGCTTCGCAGATATTTTAGGAAAGTTAATTGGGGAGGGAGGTGGGGCTGCAGCCTTCCGGTGCCTGTCTCCTCTCAGGGTTTAGCTAAACCTCTGGTGCTAGCAAGTGAAGGCGTCATATCGCTGCTGCTGCCTGACAGTTGCAACACACACACACACACACACACACACAGTTTTTTATCTGTCATCTATAATAATAAAAGAGTAATATGCTAATTAGACTGGACGTCCTTCCAGACATCCTTCCATCCTTCCGGACAAAGCCCAGGTCCCGGGTGCCAGAGGGAAGCCGTGCCAGCAGCCAGGGGAGGAAGGCTTACTCTCTCACGAATTTTGTGCATCGGGCCTCTAGTAATAATAACAACAGCAAGTGCGTGGCTTGTCCAGCGTATTACCTAGTTGTCAAGCATAGTCCTAAGTGCTTTACGTACATTAACTCAAAGGTACATAATAAGACGATAAGAAGAGAATCATATTTTGTAATCAGGAAACTCTGGTAGAGAGATTAGGTGACTTGGCCAAGAGTGCCGATCCAGCGAGTGGAGGTAGAGTTAGAGCCCAGCAGTCTGGTGCCAAAGTGTGCAGGCTCCTTGCTCGGCAACCCTGCTCCCCGCTGACTGTTGAGCTAAGTTGCCATGTAGCTGTCTGGCCAGTGACTGCCCAGCCAGCCAGACCTCATTTATGAAGCAGCTATTCTGTCCCATGGCCCTTGCTTTGCATTGAGGGTGAGCAGGTGAAGGAGTGAAAGTATCCATTTCAGAGCCTCCATGCGTCCAGGGGGACCCAAGTGTGGGGACAGGGCTACCAAGTAGGTGTCCAGGAGAGGAGCCTGGTGTCCTGTCTTGTCATCTGCTGCGATGGCCTTGTTCAGACTCCCTGTGCTGGTTATGAAGGTGATGTCTCTCACCTCAGACCCACCCTTCTTTACTCTGTGATGTTGGGGCTGGGGCTCTGCAAACAGACTCTCTGTGCAGCTGGCTCCAGGAGAGGCTCTGCCAACAAGGTGGGTCGCAAGGTTGGAGGAGGGAGCAGGGACTTGCTCTTGCCCCTGTGAGCATCACCCCAGCAAGGACTCTTCACCTCGCAGTGACAGTTCCTTCCAACAACAGTGTGTTCCCATTTCCAGTTTTTTCTGCGCTCCCAGCCTCAGCCTCAGCACAGGCAGTTGCCCCTTTGTGGAGGTCAGGGTGCCAGCTCTGCAGGGCCCCTCTTCGACATGCTTCCAAGCGATTAGCACCCCATCTCCTTTCTTTGTTCTCCCATCCAGATGTGGAGCTGCTTCCTGCCTCTGTGTTTATTCCCAGTTCACCCTTTCAGCCTCCAATACCTGCTTCATCTATGGCAGGGGTGGGCAACCCCTGGCATGTGTGCCA